CCCCCCCCCCCCCCCCGACCGAAAAAAAAAAAAAAAAAGAGGGGACCGGGTAGGCGCCCGGTAAGGCTGAGTGTGCGCGAAGTCTGCGCTAAAATTCGGGAATAGAATGTAGCTCAGACCTAACGCCCCTCGGCCGGCTGGTGCTTGGAGGCGAAGTACACTCGTTGAGTCCGGTGGACACGCGTTATGGAATGACAAGTGTCTCGACCGGTAGAGGACATAGCTAGAGAACATAGCTGAGCTATGTCCTCGGTGCGCGTATCCTAACCTCTCCTTGATTGGAGGGAGGCCACAGGCGATCCCCTCCTCCATCTCACCTTTCATCTGACTAAGTTTCCTTCCCTCAAAATTAATGGAAATTTCTTTCTCCAACCCTAATATTGGTAGGTGTGAGAACATGTTGACTACTCGTGCCTGTGAAAGCAGGCCCGAGCCTCGGGCCAAGAGATCGGATGGGAGCTGCGAAGTTGCGAACCAAGAGCTACAAGCGCAAGTTCTGGAAGAACGATTGGGACGGTGTTGCGGCGGCCCGGCGGGCAGTGAGAGAGTGTGCACCAACAGTGGGAGCGTGACATAAGTTCCAAGAACAGAAGTGTCAACCCCATCGGGCGATCTATGGAATATATTGAGCTTTGAGGGTCTGTGGATGATGCTGATTGTATAGACACACTGGTTTGCATTCCTACGCATGGTATCTGGTTGTATCTGTTGGTTAAATCGTAGAATAGTACTTACCTTCTCACTTAGATGAGCATGTTCTTCGACGGTCATATAGATTCCACTGTGTTATGCATCTGTCAGACATAATAGATTAGATTCATGGGCTGCTCTATTTCGACACTTTCCGTGAATTCAAGCCGTATAGTGTGCATTTTAGCCCACACCTCTTACTTGAAGGTAGTTGATGTCACACTGCTTTGGAAAGTGATATTCTAGGTGCCTTCGTCATCTCTGTATTTGGAATCTGGTTGGTTTCGTGAAGAGTGACCTCCTTGTTTTCTCGGCACTTTCTAGGTTAGTATTATCTGTTGTGTCACATGTATTTTCTCTAGTGTTTCGTAATTAGAAACACATATTTAGGGTTGGAATGTTTGTAGTAACTGAGAGTTTTGAGTATTTCTGCCTCTGGATAAGTTGATTTTCTATGTGAGAATAGTCAGTACGAAGGAGCAGTGGGAATACCAACGGTTAGACGATAAGAGAGACCCGGTGAAGAGCAAATTAGAGTTGTATCCATTGGGTGCGTGGTGGGAAACCCGCCTTGGCAACAAAGGCTTTTTACAAGTGTCTTTGGATGGTGATGATAAGAAGGTACTCCTACAGCCTATTTTTCTATCGACAGCGGCACTGCGGGGGCAGTGTGAGTGCCATCATCATTGGTGGGAGCGTTGTCGGGCGCGTTCAATCCGGCACCACACGGGGGCAGCGCGGGACCCTCCCGGCCGCGTCACGCAGGAGTTGGTTTTCAATCCTTCATCGCAAAAATACATGGAGCTTCCACAAGCCGCTCCGGCCGGGTGCGCCAGCCATACCTCTCGCGAGCCCCTACGACAGGACAGGGCCTACGCGAGGCACGACTTACCTACACCTTATGGGAGCTGTCACCTCCCTTCGGTGG